AGAAAACTAGTTTAAGGAACTACATTCTCTCCTACATAAGAAGCTTAAAGTTGACAAATCAAAAAAAATGATGATAAACTGGGCGTGGTGGCACAGGCCTATAACCCCAGGGACTCAGGAGGCTGAAGCAAGAGGATCTCCAGTTTGAACTTAGCAATACCCTGTATCAAAATAAAGAATAAAAATGGCTCAGTAGCTCAGTAGTAAAGCACCCTTGCAAAGGTCAATCCCCAGTTAAAAAAAAAAAAAGGAAGAGGAGTAAAAGTATATATCACTAAGGCTTAAGAAGATAACGACCTAAGGCTGGATTGTGACTCAGTGGTAGAGTGCTCACCTAGCATGTGTGTGGCCCTGGGTTTGAACCTCAGCAACACATAAAGATAAATAAAATAAAGGTATTGTGTGTAACTACAACTAAACAAAAAAAAAAAAAAAAAAAGATAATGATCTAAAAATTCAAGACAGAAAAAGTTTTTAAAAAATTTTAAAAGATTCCTCTCTGTGAGCCTTGAAGAAATAAAAGAAAACACTGTTTTTAACAAAAGTCCTTCTGTACAACTGGGTTTACCAAGTGTATAGAGATCCCTTTGACAAAAATAATTCTTTTACCACAAATTTCAGAGAATGCCAAACAATGAAATTATTCCTAAAATTAGGAGTGGCAGTCAAATGTCATAGTTGGACTTTTACAGAAGAACAAGATAAAAATCTTTTTTCTTAAAAGAATTATGTTATTCAAATAAAAGTTTTCTACAATAGGCTGTAAAATAAAAAAGGAAAAATCTACTGAAGCTAGATCACTTTCTTTTTTACAATTCTTTGTTTTCTGGTTTATGTACAAAAGAATATGTACTGCATTATAACCAGAAACTTTTCAAATGTTCAATGTGACCCATGTTCAAAGTCAATGCTTCAAAGCCAGCCTCAGCCACAGCAAGGCGCTAAGCAACTCAGTGAGACCCTGTCTCTAAATAAAACACAAAATAGGGCTGGGGGTGCTGCTCAGTGGTCCAGTGCCCCTGAGTTCAATCCCAGTGCTTCTAGTTGCTCGGCACTTAAGCAGCCAGTAGAGGACAGGAGGCGCAATGCCAGGGTTCTCAGAGGCCACGTGGTTTTCTGCTGTTACCTGAATGCTGCAGAAAAGCCATGGTTGCTCTGGAAAGGGAACCTTCAGGAGGTACCCATCACATACCTGGGAATACCTTACCTGAAAAAGTGACAAAGACTTCTTAAAGTCTCTTAAAGATCAAGGCTGTTTCCCACAAGCCTCTGTGTTCAACCGGGGAAGTGACAAGGGCAAAAGRTGGGGGAGGGGAAAGGAAAACCACTTCAGGGTCCTCCAATAAAAGCATATGCCTTTCCAGAAGGTCTTCAACCCTCCCGGGCCCCAGCTTTCTAATCAAAAACCAAAACAAATAGCAAAAAAAAAAAAAAAAAAATTTGATCCTTGTCAATTCTAAAATCCTTAYACTCTTCAACTCCCAACAGAGGCAAGGCTAGGGCTCTTCTGCTAGCCCATTTCACACAGGCTGGGCCAAGTAAAGACCAGATTGACACCACCATTTTCAAGCTCCTACTTTTTTTTAGTGCCAGGAATTGAGCCCAGGGGTGCTTAACCACTGGGCTGCATCCCCAGCCCTTTTGATTTTAATGTGTTTATTATTTTATTTTGAGATAGRGTCTGGGTAAGTTGCGTAGGAGATCACTAAATTGGTGAGGCTGGCCTAGAACTTTCAACCCTCCTTCCATCCTCCTGCACCAGCCTTTGGAGGTGCTGGGGTCACAGCCATGCACCAGGCACGGCTCAAACTCCTTAATCTCCCCAAATGCATTGCCTTTTGAGGCTGAATGACATTTAACTTTTACCTTATTCAAACTTTAAATAAAGCTCTGAAGGAAAGAGCTTTTGACAGATGGTTTATTCTGAAAGATAATAGTCACAATGACTTAATTTCTTAAAGCCTCTTCACCAGTAAACCAGAACACTTTTCAGGATGGCATTAGATGAGGCCAGCYTACTTCTGGTGGGTTGTTTTGTGTTTGTTTTCTTCCAGCTGTCTGGTCTTGACTGTCTATTCAAAGTGAAAGGAAGATGCCCTCTGCTGTGGGTAGGGGGATGGGCAGAAAAGGATCACAGCAACTTCTGCCAAAATTTCCATTTTTGCCCTAAATCACAAACAGTCCTGGGTTTCACTAATCATTCAAAATACATGTATAAAAGGAATTGTTGCTGTTGTTGTTGTTTAGGGGGGTCTTTTGTTTTTTAAATCTAGCTTTCCACAGATATGAAGGCAGACCGAGCTCTTTCTTTTTCTTTTCTTGTCTTTTTTTTTTTTTTTTTTTTTTTGGTGCTAGAGATTGACTCCAGGGATGCTTCACCACTGAGCTACATTCCCAGGCTTTTTTGTAATTTTT